ATTGCCCATGCTCCCATGGGAAGTTGACACAAATGAAATATATTCTGCGTAGGGTGTGGGCTCCTGTACTTCCTTGACTACTGAGTTCCTACTGGCATCCACCCAGGACTAGAGGAAATTCAAGCAGCCCAAAATAGCTGATACCAAATATGTACAGAAACAGGCTGGTACAAGATGGCCAGTGAATAGCCATCTGTAATCTGAAACGGTACTTTGAATAGTATCAAAAGCAAACAGCAAGAATGCTGGAGAAACTCAGCTGTCTGGCAGCATTTGTGGTGAGAAAAACAGAGGTAATATTTCAAGCTGAATGTGACTCCTCTTCAGAAACTGGAACGAGCATTAATAATAGGTATGAGTGACAAAGTTAAGATAAAATGACAATATGCCAAACTTCATTTTGAGGAATCTGCTAAATCATTACCAGTGTTGAACATTTGAGAGCTAGTCAGCATGGAGGCTGGAACATAAAATATATTCAGTGCTGAGAGAGATGGATTTTTAAAAAGTGAGGGAATCCAGGATTGTGGGGGAAAAAGCAGCAATGTGGAGTTGAGGGTTATAATTTCAGCCATGATCTTGAATGGTGAAGCAGACTTAATGAGCTGAAAATCCTGTTTCTGCTCTTAGATCCTATGTGGATTCATGGTCTTACAAACCTTCAGTGCTTTCAGCAAAAGTCAGCTCAAGTGGCAACTTGAATACAGAGCTGTCACCTCAACCCTACACAGCAAAAGTGAATGACCTGTCACAAATACAGCCACACATACACAACTGGAAAAGCTGTTCACTCGCTTGCAGACAGGAGAACAGGAAGATGTAAACCCGTCGTGTGCACAATCCACGGATCAACCATCAGACCCAGAGGTCTGCAGCAACCCAACAACATAGAACAACAGCAGATATCATGGCTGTAAAAGATGATACTGTAACAACATACTCCAGGAAAGGAATATCTCCCCGATGACGAATCACTAACAATAACACTTACATCATTAAGAGACCAGCGCGATTTCAAGTGTTTGTGAGCAAATGATAAGCAGAAGTTGTTGAGAATAACAAAAGGCCAAGGCATGAGAACAGTTGTGTGTGTGCTGGGTTACTTGGGTAACTCAAAACATTTATGATGATAAATAAACTTTTTTGTATTAAACTTTTTTGGATTGATATACAATCATGTGTGAATGTCCTTCTTGTTCTGCTTTAGTCATATGATCTCTATCATGAGGCATACTGTCTGAAGGTATCCAGCTTGGTGCACTTGAATAAAGACACTGTTCAGATCAGACTCTGATTTGACTTGATTTGATTTATTTTACCTAAATACAGTAAAAAGCTTTGTTTTGCAAGAAGTATAAGCAGGTCCTAGCAAGCAAGGACATATAGATTATAAGGAGTTTAGAGGAGTGAGGCATACAAGTTAACAACTGCATAGGAGGTGCACAAAGCAAGATCAATATTATTTGAAGTCAGAGACTCCATTCAGCAGTCTAATAACAGCAGGGAAGAAACTCTTCTTGAACTTGTTGGTGCATGTGTTCAAGCTTCTGTATCATCTACCTGACGGAAGAAGTTGTAGGAGAGCAATACCAGGGTAGGAGGAGTCTTTATTGATGTTGGCAGCCTTTCTGCAGCAATGAGAAGTGTAAATGGAGTCCATGAATGGGAGAGAGAGATAACAAGGTGTAGAGCTGGATGAACACAGCAGGCCAAGCAGCATCAGAGGAGCAGGAAAGCTGGCGTTTTGGGCCTAGACCCTTCATCAGAAATGGGGGAGGGGAAGGGGATTCTGAAATAAACAGGGAGAGAGGGGGAGGTGGAAAGAAGATGGATAAAGGAAAAGATAGGGAGAGAGGAGACAGACAGGTCAAAGAGCCAGTAAAGGTGAGTGTAGGTGGGGAGCCTGGACTGACCTATCCTCTCCCTAACTCCCCACCTACACTCACCTTTACTGGCTCCACCCCCGCCTCCTTGACCTGTCTGTCTCCTTTCCACCTATCTTCTCCTCTATCCATCTTTTATCCGCCTCCCCTCTCTCTCTATTTATTTCAGAATCCCCTTCCCCTCCCCCATTTCTGATGAAGGGTCTAGGCCCGAAACACCAGCCTTTCTGCTCCTATGATGCTGCTTAGCCTGCTGTGTTCATCCAGCTCTGCACCTTGTTGTCTCTGAAATATTGTATTTTGTTTTGAGCACTGAACCTCAAGGAAGACATCCTGACAATGAAAAAGGCAGAGCTCAGATTCACCAGTTTTATACTGGGTGGTAAATGGTAAATGTAGGAGAGGTTCCACCTTGGTTTATAATCCATGAATGATGTGTATGACAAAATGTATGCTTTTATTAATTTGATTCTAGTCCAAGGCATTTGAGGTGCACATCTTAACTCTGTGGTGGTATTTGTAATCTGAAATGAGTTAAAATAAGCTGAAAACTCAGTTCCTGGTGATACAAAACCAGCAATAACCTAATACAACCACTGATTTGTTCAGTGATATTCCTTAGGGAAGGAAATCAACCATCATTACTTGATCTGGCCTACATGTGACCCCGGACCCAGCAATGGGGTAAACGAAGTTGTGGGAAAAACTTGTAATTGGAGGTTTTGACAGGGAGGGGTCAAATGGGGTAAATGGAAGCCAGGTCTGCCATCCCCAGAAATATTTCAGAGATAGCCAAAGAAAAGCTGTGGGACAGGACTGTTTTGGTGATCTGCCACTGTTGTAGTTGCTTTCTAAAAAATGAATAAGCTTAAAAGCATCCCTCTAATTCTCATCCCTCGCACCCTTCATCCCCACACGCACCCTCTGCCCAATCCATGTCATCCTGTGCCCTCACCCAACTCCATGACCTATTAGATTTCCTGTCCCAACTGTTATGCCTCCATCACCCTCATGGTCCTTTATTGCCGCAATGATGAATGCTGGCCCATGCCACTCACACTCCATGCTTTTTGCTTACACCCTCCATACTAACTCATTCAGTATTTACCATGGAAGACCTTGTGTTCAAATGAAATAAGATAAATCTGTAAGTGACTTTTTCATAAACTTACACTAAGAAAAATTGCATTGTTGAGAATTAATTCGCTATATTTAACTATCTACGCTGACATAATCCCTTATGGCAAGAAATTAACAGCATTCTTCAAAGCTTTCATATGCACTTGGACTGTCAATCAAATTGTAACTTGACAGGTGCACGTTGATAATGATGGGTTCTGAAATCAGTAGTATCGCCCAGATCTTTTAATGATACTCCAAAGACATGTCAACAAGTGAGGCAGCAATTTCTGATTTTGTTAATACTCAAAAAATTAAAAGCAGGTCTTTGAAATAATTTAAATGATGGCCTGGCTATTCTGTTGAGTTTCCTTAATGGCTTCATGGTTCCCATGATGCCGAGTTTGACAGTTCCTTTGACAGCTCTCTTGATAGACCCTTTGTCAGTTTGACAGTTCCAATTAGTTTGTCCACTTTTCATGTATATCTATTTGTAAAAATCTCAAAGGACACCTTGCCTTTCCCAAAGACGTTCCTGGACCTATCCAAAATGGCATCTTTCTTCAGCCCTAACTTTAAAGAATTCTTGCAGCTTTAGTCTTCTCCTGAACATGAATACTTACAGTACCACTCACCTTAGTTCCCACCCCAGTGAAAATGGCAACCATTGGGTTCAGTAATGAAAATTCCACATTTAGGTCTTGGGTACTATTTTGGCTAAGCCCTTAAGCCAGGGACCTTCTCCATCATTTTGAAGATTGAAGCTAATGTGTGTAATCTATTTAGAATGTAAGAACTAGGAGCAAGAGTAGGCAATTCAATCCCTCGAGCCTGCTCTGCCATTTAATGCGATCATGGCTGATCTCATCGTGACCTCAACTCCACTTTCCTGCCCACTCTCCATAACCCTTTAACTCATTAATAATTAAAACATCTGTCTATCTCTTCCTTAAATTTACTCAGCATCTGCCACACTCTGGGGTAGTGAATTCCACAGATTTACAACCCTCAGAGAAGTAATTTCTCCTCATCTAAGTTTTAAATCTGCCACCCCTCGTCTTAAAATTATAACCTCTCATTCTAGAATCCCCCGCATGAGGAAACATCTTTTCTCCATTGACTTTGTCAATCCCTTCAGTATCTTCCATACTTTCTATCTTTTAAGGCAAAGATGGATAGATTTTTGAACAGTAAGGGAATTAAGGGTTATGGTGAGTGGGCAGGTAAGTGGAGCTGAGTCTGCAAAAAGATCAGCCATGATCTTATTGAATGGTGGAGCAGGCTCAATGGGCCAGATGGCCTACTCCTGCTCCTATTTCCTCAATTAGGTCTCCTCTCATACTTCTAAACTCCAGCCTGTGTAGGCATAAACATACTCACTGATTGTGACTAAAATTTCTAGATCAACTTGTTTGGCAGGAGCTTGAACCCATTTATTTTAAAACTAAGGAAGATTTAGGGCATAATTTTACATCTTTGCATCTCAATATTATGTGGGACATGTACAATCTTTTCTCACTTGTTTCAAATTTGGACTTGCCCCTCAATCTTCAACTCCAAACTATTCTGCTTCTGGATCTTAAAACCCGGAAACTTCTTTAGTCTTTCCCTTCTCCTATAACCATTTAAAACTCAAGCTCAACATCATCTAATTACTGTGTCTTAACTTATTTCTCACTTCCTCTATTAATGCTTGTTGGGTCCTGCGTGTTGTATCTAGCTTATTATTGTATTTCAAAATATGTGAAATGAATTGTACAATTACTAATTTATATGCATTGTCTTATTGTCGCCCTAAACTATCAAAAACTGAAACATCATCTCTACTGTACACTCCACTGTAACTACTAGTCTCCAAAGAGTAGAACGCTGGAAATTGTTGAATGTCTGAAATGTAGTTCTTTTGCTACTGTAAGTCACTCATTAGCAGCTCGGTGATGCAAATATGTTGTTTGAGCAAAAGATGAATTAATAAAAATTCTCGGTTATGTTTTGTAGGCAACACCGTATTTTGTGGGTCTGATGATCATTGAGCTGGTTGTCACCTGGTTTCAGAAGGGCAAAACTGTATTTCGAATAAATGATGCACTGACTTCCATCAGTGCAGGCATCTTGTCAAGATTGCCAGAGTAAGTACTGTAAATTGTCATCTTGTTATCCTCTTGGGAGTAAATTTCAAATACTGAAAACAAGGAAGATTTCTAAGCTAAATATTGTGTGTTGGTTGAGGTATGAAAGGTCAAACAACTTTAAAGTGGGAGTTTTGACTGTGATGGTTGATTATTTGTGTGAAGAAAGGGTGATGGGAGTTTGGAATTCACTTCCTGTAAGGATTGTAGAGGCAGAAGCCCTCATAACATTTTAAAAATATTTAAATGTGCACTTGCGATGCAGGTTAAAGCTGAAACTTGTAATAGCAGAACATCTCAGACAATCAAATAAAATTTAAATCAGTCTTGCCTCTAGTCAGGTCGATACATGATACTGTTATAGAATTTATCTGATTTATAAGACACCTGAATTTAGCTGGTTTTTTAAAAATCTATGAGCAGATCTTCCCAGAATTTCCCCCTCATGGTGCCGATGTTGGACTGGGGTGGGCAAGGTCAGAAGTCACTCGACACCAGGTCATAGTCCAACAGGTTTATTTGAAATCACAAGTTTTCAGAGCACAGCTCCTTCATCAGGCTCCTTCACCGGATGAATGAGCAGCACTCCAAAAGCCCCTCATGGTTGACTGTGGGTAATAAGCATCATAATATCCATGAGATAAGACTTAAAGGGCCATGAAATAATAGATATAAAGTTATTTCCGTGGTAAAATAGGCATTGGAAATAAATGCTACAGTTAGACAATCACTTTGAGAAGAGGATTGTTGATGCAACAGCATATCCACTATTTTCTTGCAATTGCAGTCATAATCATTACAAGAAAACAATGGGGAAATTCATTAGTGATTTCAAAAGACAAATTTTGTGAATTTATGAGTACCATTATGCCTATACTTTAAAGGTGAGTTTACCAATTGTGTCAGACAATTAAAAACTGCTGCAATAGATGTACTTGTACTAACTTGGATAGGAATATATTTCTGGGAATCATGAATTCCCCAGCATTGTAGGTAATTTTGCAGTCTATTGATCCATGTTTTTATCTGATTTCTACTATACTTAAAAGCAAAGTTGACATTGACAAGGGTGCATTTACTGTCCATCTCTCACCATCATGTGAACATGAAGGTGGCCCCTAGCCTTGATGTATTGTATCATGTTGTGATGATGCACTATCAGTGGTACTCAGTTGGGAATCACAAGATTTTGATTTAGTGACATTGAAGTTGTGTGTTATTACCAAGCTAGAGTTGTGCGCCACTTGATACGAACGTGAAAATGTTGCTCTTTCCATAGTCTTATTTTTTAAAACATTCTTTCTGGGGCTTGACAATGTCATTAAAGTTAGCTTGAAGATTTGTTTCAGTGCATCCTGTAGGTGCTATACATTGCATCTATAACAGTACCATCGCACTGCTTGTGGATGATTGGGTTCTTTCTTAGGGTCTGCTGATCAAACTGGTCTTGAATGATGCTGAACTTCTTGAATGTTGTAACGGATGCAACCATGCATCACATGGCTGACTTGAGCCTGGTAGTCAATGAACAGGGTTAGGAGATGAGCCAGTCACTTCAAAATGCGCTATAGATCATTGCTTTGCTTGTGTTGCTGAAATTACTGGTTCAATTTGACCTCTGGTCATTGTGACTCCAAAGATGCTGTTGTAATTTGGGGAACTGCTTTGTCTTTTTCTTTTCGGAACTATATGTTTGCTGCCATTTATTTAATAAAACCCATGATACCATACAACATATTCTTGGATCTAGGAAGTTAGCTAAGAAGAGTTGTTTACTTCACATAACTCAGATGAGATTGAAAAAACTGTGTCTTTCATAAAATATGGTGCTCTACAGGTGTCTTAACTTATAAAGAAGGTGAGCAAAAGGGAACAATTTTAAGAGCTAAAGATAAAGATAAGAGATAATTATGAGCAAAGCTGAAGATGCTTAAGATTAAATGACAGCTGACACAAGAATTCAATTTTTTGCATCCTTTATTGTGAGTGAACTTGTGTTCATCAACTTTAGTGAACTGAGTAATCTAGAACTCAAGATTGATCCAGTTGAACTGTTCGGCCAACATAAGCAAGTTCCCCAGAAATTAATCATCAGCAACTCCACACATAATGTAACTCCACACCATAAATTTAAAAGTATACATTTTTCAACATCAGTGTTTCCAGTGTGTTTTTCTCTGTGTATCTGTGTAAGAATGATACATCATACCATAAATCCACTTTCTGAGTAAGAAGAAAAGCATGTGATACACTGTTCCAATTTTCTTTTGTGTTTAGATTTCTTGATTGAATGAATATTATTGCCTTAATACACTAGAAAAGAAAAGGATTAAATGAGGGATTAATTTCATTACTGATCTTTGAAAAATTTAAATGCATGATCTGCCTGACAAAATCATTGTGAAGTATATAAAGCAGCTACATCAAAAACAGATGAGAAAGGAATTAGAGACAAATGGAAACCAAATTACTCAGCCACTAATAACTGTTGTAGTCTTCAGCATTGAGAAGATTGACCAAGTTTGTAACTATGGACAATGACTTTTTAATTTAGAGTTAGAATGTGTCAATTGATTTAAAGTTTGGATGTTGGCTTGATTGTCGTATATGATTTGTATCCTAATCTGCAAGTTAGTAACTTAAATTGCAGCTCCCATGCTGATTATGAAGTGTGAATTTTTTGTTTGGATTTGTAGCGGAAGATTTTCTTCTCATTAGATCTTACAAGTGCAGGATGCGGAGAAAGATTAGGCAGGGACGAGTTCACTTGTGCAATTTAAATTAATTGAGAAATATGCTAACTTCATTATGAACACATGATCTTTCAGCTTGATTTTACAGTCCAAGCTTAATAAAAACAAAATTTGCCCCATTTTGCATGCTTAGAGTAATAGGTAAGGCCTGAATGAATTAACACGGATGTCAAAGCAGCTGCTTCTTGCTATGTTTCACTTAATGAATCATTCTTGTATTGTGCTTTCTTAGAAATTTTATTGGTGAAGGCTGAACATCTTTTTTTGTCCTGTCTTTGTCATATGAATATTTGAATGAATACTGTTATTTGAGTTGAAAAAAAATAACCAAGCGGTTGTGGGACAAAAGAGGATTAATCCAATACATATGCAAGATTTATTATATTTGAAATATGGATGGAAACACCTGAGGAAGACCTTGCTAAGTGTGATTTGTGCAGTGAAAATGCATTTGGAGTAGATTTAAGGAAAATTTCTGGCGAACCTTGAAATTTCTTTTAGATTAAGCATACCAAATGACAAATCTGAATGTGAACTTGGGGATCCTCATGGCACGTGATATGAAACTTATTTAGAGATAAGTACTTTACAAATTGTTTATTCACCCCAGTTTCTTTCAATAGTAAAACCAGTTATGGTCTAGTGTCATGTGCTCAATTACTTTGGTGAGTGCTGGGGAAATTGGTTGCATTTGAATAGTGATAATGTGGATTATCAGTAATCTAATTCCCCACCCCACTATTTTGCCTGATTTAATCAATCTGTTCTTTTACATGAAGTATACATTTTTGAAGTGCATTCACACTTCACAAGCTGGATTTTTAATCTGTGATCATGAACTAAAAATGTGGGATAGTTCCGGGATTTGACCTCACACAGCGTACATTTGGTCTATTCACTGAAATCTTCAACACTCCAGCCAATTAAAAGCCAGGGAATGGGCTTGCCCTCAAATCGAGATTGCCAGTTGACGTACTGGAGGGTACTGTCCAGTACTTCGGGATTGGCAGCACAACCTTCCAAGATGGGAGCTGGCAAAATGAACATATTAACAGCAAGACAAAAGTGCAGGTAATTTGCTTTTCTTAAAAACAAAGGCTACAGTATGATCCTGGTCCAGGCCACTATGAGCTGCCCACATTGGTGACTGGAAATTCCAATTGGTGTGGGAATGGGCCTTAATAGGCCACATAATTACAGATAATTAATGACACTTGAATATTCTCAAAATTGTTCAGGGTCAGGATCTTGGTGGCAAACTGATCTGAAGCTCAGGCCAGTGGTGAGCTTTTCCCTCATTAGCTAAAGCATCATTTTGTCTCCCAAGTAACAACCGATCTAATTGTTTTTGACATGCAAAGCATTTTATTGTGTATGTGGCACCTTTAACTTTGAGCATTTGGAACTGCATGAGAAATGTATTAATGTGCCAACTTGATCTTGAATTGCACAGGAACTTTTGGGGTACTGCACAGCCATGCAGTTTAAAGGGAAGATTGGAATGCACCTTTTCTAAATTGAATCAAGGATACTACTTTCATTTAGGAGGCTTAGTGCCCAGTTGTTTTTCCAGAGCTGACAACAGAGCTTGCTATAATTTGCTTAAATATATTAAGTAAAATTTATGTATCTAAAAGTATTTACTCATCGAAAAGTTAATGTACCATTTAGGATACATGACAACAGAGTTTTCCAAAGTTTTGCCCTTTAATCTGGGAGAGGTATTTACATCCAGTTTGGATAAAGAGCACAGGTTTCTTGGCTGATAAACTGAAAGCGCTCCTCCTCGATATGAAATAGTTTTTGATAGCTTCGATCTCGATTTGCAATTGACTTCAAAACTTGGACATTTCTAATGTGTTGGAAATTGGTGCCAATTCTGTGCTTGCCCAGAATCACCAAGCTTTTGTGTACGAAAGAGAATGATGATTACAAATAGAGGACAGTTAAAATATGTCAAAATTTGATGCCTGCAGTTTGTCAGAGTTGGCTTGTAAACTGTGTGGGTTCATGGCCAGAACACAATCATTTGTGAAAAGGGTCTATTTCTAAGGACCATTTGACAGGCAGGATATCATGTAAGTGAGTTATGAAGTCATTGGAATGAAGAGGTGTGGAAAGCCCACCATGATCCAACAGAAGTTGATCTTGATTTTCAGAGGAGCTATGAGGTTCTAGTGTTGTTATAGTGGATCAGCAGATGCACAGGGAAATGGTAATGATGAACCCAATGGACCAAAACAGTTG